AACTACATGTTCATTGTTATATTTTTCAATTAGGCATTTCCATTTGTATTCGAAGATTGTTACGAAGCTGCTTTGCTATAAATCAAAGAAGTCCTTAATAAACTCATCATAACGGTCTCTGAAATTATTTTTCAAATTGAGAGGAATATTCTGTGCAATATGAAACATGCAATGAAGAGCATTTGTTATTGGAAATTCTTCCTGTATCGCGGCAAGTAAGGCAGGGTCAGCGTCGGTAAAAATAACATATGGAATGGCTTTAGATGTCGCTTTCTTTATTTGCTATAATATCCAAACATGCGGCTCTTTTGTTTCATCGTCTGTTAATGCTTGAGCCACCAATCGGGAAGATAAATGATTGTCAACCACCAAAAAAAGTGACAATGCCATTTTGTAACGGTTTGTAGCCGATGTGTTGTTATTTAAAACTACATCACCAAACTTTAACCATCGTTCAATTTGATCTGGAGACATATAGAATAGTCGACGTAGGCATTTACTGTTATGGTCCCAATCTACTTCAATATACCATCAAGGTCAATTTCTTTCTTCTTTAACAACTCTTTATACAAAAACTAGCATCATTTGTTTGATCATAGGGTTTTGAACGAAACCGTTGAATTACCCGATATAACACTGGCATGAAAATCTTTACAGAATACTTTTCCTCGAGAGCTTTATGAATTTGTTGAGGGCTACAATTCATTTTGGTAACAAAAAACTCAACATCCTTAATCATATCCACCATAAACTCCAAGCTTTCCTAAAAATCATAATGTGCGCGATCAAGAGTATGATTCTTATGCTCATCAATTAATTTGGTAACATAGACAACCTTGTGAGGATTGTTTTTTCTGGACATGAAAGATTTATCTGCCATATACACCCAACATGCTTAGAAGTCGTTTTTTTCTTTTTACCTTTACTTTTTGTTGCCTCTGGCTGACCAAAGTGTTCACAAACTAATGTACGCCTCCTGATTATATTATTAGACCTTTCAACATGATAACAATGAATCTTGAATCCTTGCTTACTCCTATACTTTTCAACTTCCTTCATCACATAATCCCAGTCAGGGAATATCTTATTCTCTCACAATTCTTCACCTTGTAGCGCATTATCATTAACGGCATATTCTTCATATCCTTCCATAGTTTAGGTATAAATAGGTAAGGTCAAGCGTAGATAAATTAACAAGACAAAAGGTAATGTAATACGACGATCAAATGTAAGCAACATAGTAAGAAAAAAAATTCCAAATATCAAACGATTGAATAAAAGATCAAGTGCAAATGAGAAAAATTTTGACAAATATGGATAAGACGAATATGATAAGACGAATAGAATAAGACGAATAGGATAAGACGAATAGAATAAGATGAATAGGATAAGACGAATAGGATAAGACGAATAAGATAACACAGAGATCAAGTATAAACGATATAGTAAACATTGTTGAACAATTGAGTAAAGGATCAAGTAGAAGGTCAAATGCAAGTAAGAAAAAAAATTTTTATATGATTAATCGAATTAATTATGTCATTTTTGTTGAGTCTATTTAATGGATTATATAAGGGTAGCATTATGGCACTATGTTCATTAATATCGAGATTATTTTTATTTAATAAACCGATTACATAAGGGTAGTGCCACGGCACTATAGCACTACAATATTATTCCCATAATATAATTATCAAAAAATAAGCTTATTATTATTATAAAATTTATATATTTTTTTTTTATAGTAAAATAATCTTATGAGCATGAATTTATGGAATCAATATCGTAAAAATCATCTTAAACCCATTAAAAATTTTTAGCCAGTTTTTGTAAAGTAATTGTAGTAATAAAAGAATATGGTGCAATTAATAGGTTCATAGCAGAAATATACGAAACTCTGCATAAAGACTATATAAAAAAACTATATAGGGCTAGTAACAAATAGAATGCAACTGGACAAATAATTCAAGCAGTTAGTATCAGTTACTAATCAATATTGAAAACTTTAATATCTTGAATAGTATAATCTAAATGCTATTCAATATACTATTTAATATTATTATATAACTTTATGAAGTCGCATATATATAATAATGTTAAAAAATGATATATTAAGTGGTATTTGGATTATATATTCAAGATATTAAAGTTTTTAATTTTGATTAGTGTAATATATAGATTAGTTTAATTTTTTTTTTTACTTTTTTATTAATTTTATATACCTTAATATAGGTTTCTCATAGTTCAACTATAAAATATTTATTTAACTGCAAAAAAACTGATCAGATTGCAAAACAATATAAAAAAATTGCAATGAATGGTCTCTTGAAATCTTTTTTATTAGAAATAGCTGATGATTTTTTTGCTTCTTATAAAGCAAAAAAAGATTTGGCTCCCAAAGCTTTACTATCTTTTGAACACTTTTTTTTATCATTAAATAAATTCTTTAACTTGTGTGAAGATTTGACTAAGGATATTGTAACAGGCAATACTAGTATTAAATAGTATAGTTATACAAATATAGTTGAAAATGAAGATTATATCAGAGCAAGCAGTAAATTTTACAATAAGTCGATGTTTAGTGATGTATCAATTAATATAAATTCTAAAGAAAGCAGAGATTACAATACCGACAATAGAAATTATTATTGCAAGATAAATTATTTTATTGTTAATTCGTTACAAATAAAATGCTAATAGAGCTTTTTATACATAAATTATATATATTATTTTAGATTCATATGTTGGTCACTATTACTATTGAAAATTATCCAATACAATTTGACTTTGTCTTTGTACAATGGTATGATTTTTGCTTTAAGAACAACCGTCATTTATACAAATATGATTGTCTACTATTGAAACTTTCAGGTATATTTGATTTTGTTCCCATAGAATCTATTATTGAATTGATATATATAATAAAATGTGCAGAAAAAAAAATATTTTAATAATAAATACTAGCACAAATTTATTTAGTTTTACACTAGAGAGTCTAATACTATATTCATTAATTGTTCATAATACAAAATTAAACAATCTATTTTTACTACTTTTTATTCTTTTTATATTTCGCTTTTTACTTTATAAATACTTTATATTAATATATTATTTGCTAATTATAATTCAATAAAGATATTCTGTATTTTAATAATAATAAAAATCTAATTTAAGTTTGAATATTAGCTATACTATTAGAATTTGAGTAAATATCTAAATATTAATATCTATTTTTTTATTTTTTTTGTGATAAGGGCAGTCGCACTTATTACGTAATATTTTTTTATCAGGAGCTATCTCCCCACGTCAGATTTATTAGCCAATCAAAATCAATATAATATATATATATATTATATACTACATAAGATCTCTCTGACCCCTCTTCCTCTCTTGATATTATATAATAAGTGCTACTCCCCTAATGGTATTAAAAAGCATAGATATTTTTATAGAAACAAAAATTTTAGATACTTGTTAGGCAAATTAGATATATAAAATTTTTTAAGAGAAATTCTATTTTGACTCTGGTTAAAATAATCTTCAGAAAAATTTTAAGGTTAGTGTGAGCCAAAATTATGTTGATGCCGGTCAGATTTTTTTAAGATAAAAATCCAGCCAACATTAATATAATTCTGGCCTATACTAACCCTAAAATTTTTCTGAAGATTATTTTGACCTGGGTCAAAATAGAATTTCTCTCTTTTTTTTTTTTTTTTTACCGATAATGTAGCCATCTTCAGGCACATGTGACGCTCTTTTATTTATGAATTATTTTACATTTATATATATTGTAGATATTTACAAATAGATTTTATCTGTGAATTGCTATTTAAATTTGAAGCTATTACTTTTATCTCCTTGGAAATACGGTTTCTAATATATATAGGTATTACTGTTTTTGGTGTTGTTGAGTTTTCCCACTTATGTGATGTAAACCAGCACCAAATTTTATAGATTATGTTCGTATGAAGCCAAAGAGCTGCTTTATGATATTTTGAATCTTTGAGGTTATTTGCTGTAAAAATTTCTTCAATTGAAGATAGGATTGATATTTCTTTAATATTTAAAAGCTTATAAGCTTCATTCCATATTCTTTTATTTATATTGCACTCCAGTGCGAAGTGTTCTATTGTTTGAAGTTCATCTGGACACCAGAGGTAGTCTCCTGGCTCTGTTGTAGATATATATTGTAATCGATATCCTAAAGGAAGGGTCTTATGATACATATGCTATAATATATCCTTTTTCTCGTTGTTTGCTGTTTTTGTGAATAGCCAATCTATCTTGATATCTGTTAAAAGTATAGTATTTGTTGGAGCAACTGTTCGTTTTCTTAAGATTCCCATTAGACTTTTTACTGTAAAGTCTATATTTTGTTTCTTGTTGACCTTAAGATCCTTTATTTTCCAGGACCAACTATAATTTGCTGTCTGGGAGTAGACCTTATGTATGTTGCTTTTCCTCTTTTAAGTTTAGCAAAAAGATTGGACCACTGTTTTGGCTTCACTTCCAGGTTATGAGTTCTTTTGTTAGTATCTTGTTTGGGGTGTCTTCATCTTGTTAGTTGAGTTTTCTGATTGGCTGGTGTTAGACATGTGTATTTCATCTTGTTTAGTGTTTACTTTTGACATGTGATTTGTTTTGTTTATATTTTCAGTACGTGTTTCTTGGCTCTTAAGTAATTCTTCTGTCATTGTTTCTGCTGTTTCTTTGGCTTGTTTCTTTTCAACTTGGTTAGCCCAGCTTGTTTCAAGCTTATTGAGATTTGTATTTGCTGACACACTAGTTTCTAACTTGCAGCTGTTATTGCTATTGTTGTTGTTGTCTTGTTCTGCTATATTTTCTTTGTTTTCTTCAACTTTTGTAAAGTTGAAAATTTTGTCGCTATCCGAAGAAAGCCTGGCCTTCTTGTTGCCATGTCAAGAGTAATGTGTTTGTGCTTCTTGGACCCCAAGGTCCTTGACTTGTTAGGAGAGTTGAAAATAAAAAAAGAGTTTCTTAGTTTTCTAGAGGTGAACCAAAAGAGTTTTTTCCTATATTTGTATCTATATTCCTAAATTAGTTTCTTAGAAATTGAAGAATATAGATTGATACAAACTTTCTCCCATACAAATTCATAAAGAAAAGAGTACAAACAAAAAAAACATGATAACTACTCAATACAAGTTTACAAACAATCTAAAACAAGGCCCAACAAGAGCACTAGTCCTTATACCAAGGAAAAGAAAATATATTCCTCTTGAAATACAAGAAACCTGCAACAAAAAACTAAAAGTACAAAACTTTCTCTTCAATGAACAAAGAGAATTAAACAGCATATCAAAACAACAACAAGGAGAAGAAACTACTGCAAATGCAGCTACTTCAATACAAGCAATCAAAACAACTACAAAAAATACTAGCTGGGAGGAACTAGCATTGCTAAAAGAAGAGAGCCAAAGCTCGATCTCTACAAACACATCAACATGTAAAAATGAAGAACAACAACAAAACAACAAAACAAGTCACATTACAGAACACATACAAGATCACATGATTATAGATCAAGGACAACCAATAGAACAAAACATACCGGAGACCACAGAATTCTCAGAAAATAACCCATATATTGAAAGCTCAACTTCAAAAGGAAAAGCTAAAGCAGATACTAGTCAACCAAGAGATACAACCAACAGAAAGTGGTCAAGCTTAGTTGCAAAATTAAAAAGAGGCCAATCGACTTATGCAGTTTTCTCTTCTAAAGAACAAATAAGAACCAAGAATAAGAATGTATTAATTATTGAAATACAAGATATTCAAAGCTCTTTCAATAAAATAATGATTTCACTTTATGAAAGCGTCACTTCAAAAAAGGTAACCGCACACACTTAAAAATTATCTTCTTCAACAAAAATACTTTTAGTAAAAAATTATTTGCAAAACTCTTTCTGGTTCACCTCCGGAAATTTATTTGAAATCAAAATTTTGTTAAAAAACTCTTTTTTTTTATCTTTGATTCTTCTAACAAGACAAGGACCTCAGGGTCCAGAAAGCACAAACTTATTACTCTAGATATAGGTAGACAACCAAACAACAAGAAAGCCAGGCTTTTCTCAAACAATGACAAAATTTTTAACTTTACAAAAGTTGAAGAAAACAAAGAAAATACTGCA